CCCAAGCCAGTCCCAGCGCGCCGGCCCCGCCGTCGCGCTCAGGTCCCGCCCCACGGGCAGCGCGGCTTGATGACGTCACGAGGCCGCCGCTCCCTCCTCCCCGCTGGGTCCCGGCCCGGGGAAGACCTCTAGGGCTCAGGCCCGCCCCACCCCCACCGCGCGGCCCAGGGCGCCTGCGCGGAAGAGCCAGCCCGGAAAGGATACAAAAGCAAAAGTAAACAAGTATCTTCTCTTCCGGCTCTGGGGACGCAAAACAAAAATTAAAAGGGCCAGGAGCCCTTCCATCACCTCGTCTCACTTAATTTCATTATGTTCATTTTACAGATTAAGAACAAATTTAAAGAGGCAGCCGGTGAACTGGTTGAGAGCAGAAACCCAGCCTTCGTGGTCAGCGGTGTCTCCCCAACATCCAGCCTGTAGGCCCATCCCCAACGAGGTTGAACGAGGTCGGGAAGGTAGAAGGGACGCCGTCTTGGGCAACTTACCGCATGGACACAGATGGCTTCCCATCCCAAACCCCTCTTCCAGTTTTCCGGCCAATCTGACGAAAAGTCTGCAGAACATCCTCAGTCATTTCACACCCAAGATGCAAAGATGAACTTAGGCTCTCCCGTAAGCTCGCTCTTTCCCGTGAAGAGCACCACCGTTCATTCTGTTGGTACAAACAGAAATCTGAGGAGGCCCCCTCTCATTCTCCAGAGCCTCCACTATCCGCTTCACTGAGTTTACCTCCTAATTCTCAAATCGATGCATTCTTCTTCGCCCCATTGCCTCCACCCTCTCTCTCTGAGGTTTCTCCAATAATCTCCAACTCTCCAGTAGCAATTCTCCATAAAACCAAAGTGATTTTTTTAAAAAATGTTTGTTCTAATCCTGTCAAAGCTTGTCAATGATTAAAACCCATCGATGGCTTGCCACGTCTCTGAGGATGAAGCTAATGTTGTTGTTTATACTCACCTGAGGATATTTTTCCACCACTTTCCAGAGAGAGTGGAATGGGGGGAGAGAAAGAGAGAGAGAGAGAGAGAAACTTCAGTGTGAGAGAGACACATCAATTGGTTGCCTCCTGCACGAGACAGACCAGGGATGGAGCCTGCAACCGAGGTACCTGCTCATAACCAAAATGGGCCCTGAGACCCGTCAGTCCACTGGGGGACACTGTAACCACTGAGCAAACCGCCTAGGGTGAAGCTAATGTTCTTCAGATGGCTGCAAGACCCTCTAATCGCACCCCTTCTGTAGTAGTGCCTTGTGCTACACCCTGGTTTTCTCTGTTTCTCAGCCATGCCATGTCTCTTAGGGGTTAATTCCACTGCCTGGATCACTCCCACCCCCTCTTTGTTTGGCTAATGTCAACTAATCAGTTTAGTGTCCTTATATCTGGAAATATTTCCTGACCCCACAAGTCTGGGTTGGGAGCTATCAAAGGACTTAAATCACCTGTTGACTCACCTGCCTCCCTCACTCAGTTGTAAACGCAGTACAGGAAAGGTATGTCTGTGTGTCTGTGTTACATCCTTCATACGGTGTCTGGTAGTAGGTGCTCAATAGACATTTACTGAACCTGTGGAAGTATGGAATATGAATGAAGGTTAAGTGATGTGCTCAGCGTCACAGAGCTAGAAAATAGCAAATGAGCATTTCAACCCAGGTCTCTTTGGTTCTAAAGCTGAGTGTTTTTCCATCTCACCAGGGGTTCTTCACATGTATTATGCCTTGGACACCTTTGGTAATCTTATGAAGTTTATGGGCCCATTCTCAAAATAATAATTTGAAGGGCATAAAACAAAATGTATAGGATGAGAAAGGAAATAAATTATATTGAAATACAGTTAACATATCTAACATTGTGTGATTTGTTTTTAATTTTAATGTAAAGCATTAAATAATATGCTCTCCCACTGTATGGGGGAACATATTTGCCAATGACACATCTGATAAGTTCCTAAAATACATAAGGAACTTATACAATGTAACAAAAGGAAGACAAACAATCCAATTAAAAAATGGGCAAAGGACCTAAATAGACACTTCTCCAAAGTGGACGTACAGATGGCCAAGAGACATGAAAAAATGCTCAACGTTGCTAGTCATCAGAGAGATGCAAATTAAAACCACAGTGAGGTATCACTTCACACCTGTCAGAATGGCTGCCATCAACAAATCAATGAATGACAAATGCTAGCGAGGGTGTGGAGAACAGGGCACCCTAGTACACTGCTGGTGGGAATGCAGACTGGTGCAGCCACTATGGAAAGCAGT